ATAAGCTAAGTGTTTGAAAAACATTTTGTTCCTTCTAGATTTCCATTTTACAGGTAATCTTGTTCTTATATCCCTGTTCCTGAGGCAAACACCAAACCACCAAACCCACAGCCATCTAGTCAGTTCTTACTCATACTGACTCCCTTTGGGTTTCCAAGACGGTAAATCTTTACAGAAGTAGATTGCCCAGTCTTGCTTCCGCTGAGTGGCTGGTGGGTTTGAACCACCAACTTTCTGGCTACCAGTCAGATGCCTTGGGCACTGTGCTACCAGACCTCCTTGTTCCTGAGGCAAAGAGGTCATAAACTTAATTTGTATTAGGATGTAAATGACTAACACATTATCTTTCCATCAGTCAAAGGATGGTCCTGGATTTGGGGATCAGGCCATGCTTCCTTGACCTCCTGACATCAGAGCACTATGTGACCTTGGGAAGTTCATGTCACTCTCTGAGCCTTGGTCCTTGATCTCTAAAATGGAGATAAAGCCTTCCTACAGTCACACTGCTCTTCTGTCCCTCAGACACTACAAGCCCTTTGTCCTTGCTGTTTCCTCAGCCTGAAGTGGCTCTTCAAAAGGCTGGCTCCTCCTCATCCTTAGGGTCTCAGCTCATCATGTCACCTCCTCAGAGAGACCTTCCCCGACCATCCTCTTAGAACAGAAACCACAGACCTGGATTCAAATCTCTGCTGGGTGAGTGTGGCAAAAATCACTTCACCCCTCTGAGCCACAGTTTCTTCATCTCAAAACAAAACCAAAACACTCATCTTAAAGAGCTGCTGGAGGGATGAGAGGAGATATGTAGCATAGCCAGTACAGTGCCTGGCACATAGTACAAAACCAAAACCAAACCCACTGCCATCAAGACAATTCAACTCTTAGCAAGCCCCATAGGGTTCCCAAGGCTATAAATTTTTACAATAGATTGCCACATCTTCCTCCCATGGGACAGCTGGTGTGTTTGAACCACTGACCTTCTGGTTAGAAGCCAAATGTCTTACCCACTGCACCATCAGAGCTCCTTGGCATATAGTAAGTGCTCAATAAATATCAATTTCCTTCCAGTTCTTGCCAGATGCTGGAGGGATCACAGAGTAAGGAAGTCTCAGTCCTGCCCTCAAGGAGTTCCCAGGCTGGTGAGGGGGACAGTCAAGGACAAACTTCAGCCCCATGGACAGGAACAACACAGAGAGGTACAAAGAGGCCCAGACTGTGGGGTTCCCCATACTCAACATACAAAGTTCTGATCTCAACCTCAATTCCAATGCCTTTTATGACTCCATTTCGGCAGTCACTCTGTTATTCCTGCCATATTCTATTGGCTGAGGTAGTTACAAAGTCCTGCCCAGTTTCAAGGGAAGGAGACATAGACTCACCTCTTGATAGGAGGATTGTCAAAGAATTTACGGACACAGAAGGCCAAATAGTGTATTAGTTCATTATTGTAAAAAGGAAAGGTTTATATATGGATGGAAACCTTCTTTGTTGGTGTTCCAGTTAACCCTCAGCCTTGGGCTTCAGCTCTGCCTCCAGCTCCCGGCCCACTGAGGCTGCCAAGCCCAAGGTTGACAAGTAAAAAGGCACAGTCCCGATGTTACCAAACCACACAGCAGGCCATTAATTCAAGTCTATTGTAAATCCCAAGGTCGGCAGAGCATGGTATGCTGCTGAACCACGACACGGCTATATGCAGGGTCCTAGGTGCCATAAGCTAGAGACCATTCCCAAGGCTTCTTATATACAGGAAGCAGACCACATCCCAAAGGCAGCTACCCAGCTGCTTGTGGTAGATTCCACCACCAAGCTGACTGCCAGTCTCATCATGGGGAATAACTACCACCAGCTGCCCAGCCACTCAACCAGACCCAGCCAAGTTGACACACAACATAACTACTGCAGTTGGTTACCAGGGGTGGAGGGAGGGGAGGGCACACTGCAAAAATGAGGAAAAAATAAAATAAAATAGATTTTAAAAATAAAACAATTTGTGGATATATTTTTTAAAGACCATGGTTATCAAAAAGCAGAGAGTGATGATGCTATTATGAAGAAAGTGCAGAAGATTCTAGAACCTCAGAGAATCTTTGTCTAGTCCAAGGGGAGACAAGTAAGTACATGATGATAATCAGGGAAGGCTTCCTGGAGGTGGGGACAGAACAAATCTCACAAATATGGGGTGTGCTGGGGCAAAGCCCTGAGAAGTAAGCACAACTCCACTCTGAATTTTGTTTTCCAAAATTAAATTTTATTTATCTGTTGTTAGTTGCTGTTGCGTCAGCTCTGACTCACGGAGACCCTACAAACAGCCGAGCGAGACACTGCCCTGTCCTGTGCCATCTTTGCCGCCACTGGTACTATAAACCCCTTCCCAAAAACGCCAAAATCAAAACCACCAATGAACAAAAAGCTCTTTAAAACACCCATAAACCCGCCCACCCACCCTCAGACAACCGCTCCTAACTCCTAGCTAAATATGCTCCAGATTGGTAAATAAAAAAAAAAAAAATTCACTGCCGTCGAGTCGATTCTGACTCACAGCGACCCCTCCTTGGGTTTCCAAGGCGGTACCACTACAGAAGTAGATTGCCCAACCCTCCTTCCGAGGAGTGGCTGGTGGGTTTGAACCGCCAGCCTTCTGGTTAGCAGGCAAATGTCTTAGGCGCTATGCCACCAGAGTTCCTAGATTGGTAAATAGGAAAACCTATTTTAAACAAAGAAATACCACCTTACTGTATGGTGCCATTTGAAACCAACTTCTCACGAGCATCTCTTCTTTTTTTTTTTAACTTGGAATTTTAATTTTGTACATAAATAGCAACATGAGAACAAGGAGTTCTAAGGCTTGTACATTATGTCTAGCTGAAACGCTTTCTGTCCAGCTGACTTATAGTATGGGATCATCCAAGATAAGAAAGGTGTAGTAGAGTTTTTCCTGAAAAAGAAAGCCAATTTACTACATTCAATACTGACTTCTCCGCCATTTTTCTGTAGAAATACTGTACGGAGTTTCCAATGTTTACCTTTAACTGATTAAAATGGTCAGAGGAAAGCACATTCTATTTATTTCCATGTGGATTCTTCACATTTCCTGACTTTTGGAAGTTCTTCCACAAATCTTCTATGACTACCCACAAATCTTCTACAACTTCTCGCAAACCCCAGTCATATAATAATATTTCCCTGCTGACCTGGTCAAAGCTGGTGGCTTGTTGTGGATAATAAAGGCAGCTAATCCCATGAAAGCAGGTGGATATACCAACTTCTTTATTTTTTGAACCTCTAGTAAAAAGGAGTCCAATAAGCCTGGCACAACCAGTAACACCAAGTCTTGGGAAAAAGCCCGGAGGTGCATTTTGGAGACATTCATAGTTTTCTACCCCCTACTGAAGATACTTCGCATCTTGAGCTTCGTGTAGAAGTACCTTTTCCTGACACCAAGTTGTATAAGGCTCGCAAAAGTGCCGGAGTTGTGAGATATTTTCTTCAAGTAGGGTCCTTGGCTCCTCCTCATACTGAGATTGACCTTCT